GAATTGTGTTAAATTTTGGGCTTCTAGATTGATTGGAAATGCTTGAAACCAATCAAGCATGTTACTAGAAAGCTTATGGTGAGGAAATTTTTGTTAAATCATAGTTAGTTTAGAGTATAAATACTAAAAGTAAAAAGAAGAAATGAAAAACTTATAGATAGTTTGAAAAATAAATCTTGATGGCGTTTTTGATCACGTGATCAGAATCAGATGATTTTGGATTTATTAGAAGCATTTTGAAGATATCATAATTTTGGTAGTTAAATCATCTAAATTGTTGGGTAGATCAAAAGTTATTGAATTTTAAAAATTTTGTATTATTAATAGATATAATTGTTATTGTATATAGAATAGTATATAAATACATCACTTATTTGTTAACTTTGAAACCCCTAATATATATAAAAAAAAAGCAATATTTATTATAAAAAGAAAATTGATAATTTAATAAAAAAAATATATAATACAAAATAATAATAATTTAATAAAATATATATATAATATAAAATAAACAATAATTTAATAATAATAAAAAAAGAAATATAATTTATTAATAAAAAAAAATAAGAAGTAATAATTATATATATATATATATAAAGAAATAATAGTTTAATTTAAAAAAAAGAAAATGATGATTTAATAAAAAAAAATATATAATTAAAAAAAATAAAAAGAAATAATTTAATATATAAAAAAAAAGAATCAATAATTTAATAAAAAAATTAAATATAAAAAGTAAATAATAAATTTAACAAAAAAAGAAGAATGTTAGTTTATAGAAACTTGTTGCTATGCGACCCCGTGATCAACCAATCAAAATCAATCACGTGTATTTTTATTTTTTTATTCTGAAGTCCGATCCAAAAAGTCAATCTAATAGCGATCAACCAATCAAATTCAATAATATAAAAAATAATAAAATTTCTAAATTTAGAGTTTTATATGAAAAATAAAAAATTGATACAAATTTATTAAAAAAAACTAATAAAAAACTACTAAAAAAACTACCTTCAAACCCAACACCAAACCTAGCAAAAAAAAAAAACCAACAGACTATAAGTACCTTCAGCATTTTGGTGAAGAATTGTATTATGAATCAAAAGAAGTACCACAAGACAATTCATTAACAAAACATCGAAGGCCCAGAAAGAATACTACAAAACAATTCACTGGTAAAACGCCAAAATACCAGAAGAAGTACCAAAGACAATTCACCAACAAAACGCCAAAGAGCAAAAGAAATACTACAAGACAATTCACCAGAAGCGCTAAAGGACCAGAAGTACCAAAGACAATTCACTAGCAATATGCCAAAGAACAAAAGAAATACCACAAGACAATTCATCAGCAAATGCCAAAGGACCAGAAGAAATACCACCCAAAGTACTATAGGCAATTCACCAGAGAACGACGAAGGATCAGAAGAAGTACCAAGGACAATTCACTGACAAAATGCTGAAAAACAAAAAAAAATACCACAAGACAATTCACCGGTAAAATGTCGAAGGACTAGAAAAAAAATAGTACTGGAGAGAAATTCTAAAAAAAGAAAAAGAAAAAGGTAGTATAAAACTACCCAAAGAAGTACGAAAGACAATTCACTAGCAAAACGCCGAAAAACAAAAGAAATACTACAAGACAATTCACTAGCAAACGCCAAAGGACCGGAAGAAATATCACAAACCAACTCACTATAAAACCCAAAGTACCATAGGCAATTCACCAAAGAACAATGAAGGATTAGAAGAAGTACCAAAGACAATTCATCAACAAAACACCAAAAAAACAAAAGAAATACCACAAGACAATTCACTGGTAAAACGTCAAAGGACCAGAAAAAATACCACCAGAGAGAAATTCTAAAAAAAAAAAAGAAAAGGGTAGTATAAAACTACTCAAAGAAGTACCAAAGACAATTCACCAGCAAAACGCCAAAAAACAAAAGAAATACCACAAGACAATCCACCAGCAAATGCCAAAAAACCAGAAGAAATACCACAAACCAACTCATCATAAAACTCCAAAGTACTATAGGCAATTCACCAAAGAACGACGAAGGATCAGAAGAAGTACCAAAGACAATTCACCAACAAAACACCAAAGAAAAAAGAAATACCACAAGACAATTCATCAGTAAAACATCAAAGGACTAGAAAAAATATCACCAGAAAGAAATTCTAAAAAAAAAAGAAAAGGGTAGTATAAAACTACCCAAAGAAGTACCAAAGACAATTCACTAGCAAAACACCAAAGAACAAAAGAAATACCACAAGACAATTCACCAGCAAATGCCAAAGGACCAGAAGAAATATCACAAACCAACTTACCATAAAACCCCAAAATACCATAGGCAATTCACCAAAGAACGATGAAGAATCAGAAGAAGTACCAAAGACAATTCACCAACAAAACGTTGAAGAACAAAAGAAATACCACAAGACAATTCACCAGTAAAATGTCGAAGGACCAAAAAAAATACCACCAGAGAGAAATTCTGAAAAAGAAAAGAAAAGGGTAGTATAAAACTACCCAAAGAAGTAAAACCCCAAAGTACTATAGGCAATTCACCAGAAAACGACGAAGGACCAAAAGAAGTACCAAAGACAATTCACCAACAAAATGCCAAAGAACAAAAGAAATACAAGACAATTCATCGGTAAAACGCCAAAGAACTAGAAGAAATATCACAAACCAACTCACTATAAAACCCCAAAGTACTATAAGCAATTTACCAGAGAACAACAAAGGATCGGAAGAAGTACCAAAGACAATTCACCAACAAAATGCCGAGGAACAAAAGAAATACCACAAGACAATTTACCGATAAAACGTCGAAAGACCAGAAAAAATGCCACTGGAAAGAAACTCTGAAAAAAAAAAGAAAAGGGTAGTATAAAACTATCCAAAGAAGTAAAACCCCAAAATACTATAGGCAATTCACCAAAGAACGATAAAGAACTAGAAGAAGTACCAAAGACAATTCACTAACAAAATGCTGAAGAACAAAAGAAATACAAGACAATTCACTGGTAAAATGCCGAAGAACCAGAAGAAATATCACAAACCAACTCACCATAAAACTCCAAAGTACTATAGGCAATTCACTAGAGAACGACGAAGGATCAGAAGAAGTACCAAAGACAATTTACCAACAAAACGCCGAAGAACAAAAGAAATACCACAAGACAATTCACTGGTAAAACATCGAAGGACCAGAAAAAATACCACTGGAAAGAAATTCTGAAAAAAAAAGAAAAGGGTAGTATAAAACTACCCAAAGAAGTAAAACCCCAAAGTACTATAGGCAATTCACTAAAGAACAACGAAGGATCAGAAGAAGTACCAAAGACAATTCACCAACAAAATACCAAAGAACAAAAGAAATACAAGACAATTCATCAAAGAACCAGAAGAAATACCACAAATCAACTTACCATAAAACCCCAAAGTACTATAGGCAATTCACCAAAGAACAACGAAGGATCAGAAGAAGTACCAAAGACAATTCACCAACAAAATGCCAAAGAACAAAAGAAATACAAGACAATTCACTGGTAAAACGCCGAAGAACCAAAAAAAATACCACCAGAGAAAATTCTAAAAAAGAAAAAAAAAGGCTTTAAAACAAAAAAAACGAAAAACATTAAAATATAAAAAAAAAAAATGTACATATGTACGTACCAGGTATGCGTACGTATGTACATATGTGGCTATAAAAAAATAATTAATCTAGACCGAAGATCGATCAAAGGCTGACCCGGCGCTGATTAACCAATCTTCAATGTGATTGGTCGATCATATTGGGTCGCCAATTATAATTTTCCAAAAAAGAAATAATAATTTAATAAAAAAGAAATAATACTTTAATTTAATAATAAAAAAAGAAGTATGTGTAGCAGCAACATGACTTGTTTTACTTGTAGACCTTCTTCAGGCTTGTCTTTGACCTTTGAACATTCTTCTCCAGGTTGGGATAGAGCTTCTGGAAAGATAAGTATCGCTTGTGATTTTTTTTTTTTTTTTTTTTTTTTTTTTTTTTATATACTGACTTCTTTTTGAGTGCTTTAGAGTGCAAGATCCTTTCTTTCCAAGACAGAATAGAACTCCAGGTACAATGTCATTCTCTGCAATTCGGATTTCTTTTCTTGGTCAGTGTCAGTTTCATCACAGTTGTAGTGTCTGAAGTTCGATATTTCACTTTTTTTTTTTTTTTTTCATCTGCTTTCATATAATATCCAAAAGTCTTCTTTTCATCTTTCCTTACACCAATAGCATATTGATAACAAAAACCAACCTATCTAATTGCAGAACTTTGGGATCACTTTTCGGAAAGTCTGTAAGATTTTATTTTGGAAATAAATCTTCAAGTTCCGAATGCCTTGGCTTTACCCAAAAGAGGTTGGATCCTAGACTCATTTAGTGAAAAATCAGAACTATATATATGAGACTATGCGAGATTAAACGTAGGGCACAGAAACTTAGAGAAGCGGCGTATTCTTTTTTTACGATAAATGTTTTGTTTTCTGCTTCTTTAATATTTATTTTACTAATGTAAAGAGCATATAGATAGGACAAAACGTAGAATATAGGCACATATATAGTAGGGGCATCGATACGAAACAGCTCTCTTCATGCTTGAATTTCTTCAAATAGGTGATCTGGTCCTGTCATCGTCACCAAATATAACTGAAATATTCAGTTTTGAGTTGGGTTAGGTCTTTGTTAGAAGAGATTCAAGACAAAGAGGCTTTTATTTAGATAGTTTTAGGACATGATAGTAGATTATGTCCCTTTAAGAGACCAATTTACATCTCTTTTATAATTTTTCTATAAATAACTAACTATTCTAAATAAATCTTTAAACTGTTTACTAGCCCTGTTATGCAAAATGATTTTATGCATAATGATTTATGTGTAATGATTATATGCGTAACAAATTATGCATAACGAATTTATGCATAATGAAAATAATAAATAGCAAATAACTAAATAAATAAATAAAAATCTATACTAAGAAAAATAACTTAGTAGTGGCCATATATAGTACACAGGATCATGTGACTACCATATTTTACCGTGCAAGGTACCCGGGTACGATTTAATTTCACGTGGTAAAAAATTTGATTTGTACCCCGGGTACCTTG